GTTAGCAGAGTTAGGGTTTATTTGGGGTGAGAAACAAAAGCATTCTGTGAAGGTTAAACCGATAGCAAGTTTTCTCCATCATTGATTTGTACATAAAGAGTAAAGATCATCAGCTTACGTTGACAATGTTGGGAAGGCAAAGGAGAGAACAGTCAAAGAAAGCGACACTGGACAAGTATATGACCAACGTCTTTGAAACAATAAATGAAAGCAGCTAATAAAGCTATTCTTCCAAAACTTTAGCCCAAACGTCAACAGACACACCGATGAAATATGCTTTTATAAACACAAGTCTTTATGTGGAACCAGGCTGTGAATTTTAAAAATTAGTAAATGCTAAAATAGTGAATGATGGAGATTGAATCTTCATTAAAATAATTTATCATCTTTGCTCAGGCCGAGTGGCTCAGTTGGTTGGAGCATCCTCCCATGCATCAAAAAGGTTTTGGGTTCAACTCCCGGTTGCGGGTTTGATTCCCTGGCCAGGGAGTGTACAGGAGGCAACTGATTGTTTCTCTCACATTGATGTTTCTCTCACTTCCAAATCAATAAATCTATCCTTGGGTGAGAATTTAAAAAAAAGAAAAAAAATTATCTTTTTATGCTGGTATCAATAAGGCATTTTTGGTATCTCCAACAGCTTGGTACCATTAAAAAATTGGGCTATTTAGATATATCTTACTATATATCATATTCAGATATTTATCTTAACATCATTTAATGTCATGGTGGTAGCAAATAAGCAAATGCCGAAAAATTCTTTTCCTTCTTAGAAGAATGTCTGGGAATAACAATCATGCTTCTGGGATAAAAAAAAGAAAAAGAAAAAAGAAAAACAAAGCCGTGCAGGCAAAGACAAGTTTCATTACAGAAAGCTAATCCCTGTGACCAAAATATCTGAGTTTTCAGTTTCTTAAACCAGAAGAGCGTGTAAGTCAAACAATGTGCAAATCCTATTATGCACATTAATCTTTTAGGAGGAGTCACAACCCAGTATTTGAGGTGTTTTATTAGGTATTCATTGTACTTCTCGATGCAGCTCCTACACCCTCTCTCTCAAAAATAGTGTATAATAAGTTTGTGTTAAGTACCCAACCCAAGGCAGGCAGCCTTGGAGGGGGAAAGATTAAGCATATTTCATATTTTCCACTCCCTTGAGGGGAAAAGAGTGAAAGACTGGGGGAAAGACACCCTCAAAGTCTAAATCCAATGACGAGTACACATCCCTGTGACATTAACGACCAGTAACAGCCACAAGGCAGCGGCATCTTCCCCCGCGCCATGAAGAAGTAGGACAAGTGAAGCAAATGTCAGCACTGTTTCTCGACAGGGCTCAGAGATCTGAATGGGTTCCCCAGCCCTCCCTGGGGAATCACAAAACACCAGTCTGACTTTCGGCTCCAAGAATTCACATCCCCACTGGACTGCAAGCTACAGTACCTTCCCGAAATGCGGCCGTGCCTTTTCCCCGCGACAGAACCGGAGAAAAAGAGAGATCGGGCGCCGCAGAGAGCGTTCAAGCCTCAGGACCGCCCGCGTAAAAGTTCCCCAAACTCTTTCCACCCCAAAGTCGCCCCTGGCACGGAGGCTGGGGCAGCGCGCGTCCCCCCGCCGGGGCCGGGGCCGGGGCGGCTGAGAATACTCACTGGGTTGAGCCCACTTTGCTCTCCCTCTTCCCGATCACTTTGGCAGGCTTGGCGTCGTCCACATCTTGCTGTAGTTCGGTCATCGGGGCCGCGGCCGGAGGGCACTTCAGCCCTCCGCGCGCCACCGTCCCGCCTCCGGGTCCTCCTCCCGCGACTGCCGCCCTCGGGGGCGCAGGCCCAGCGCGCCGCCCCGCGCCTCCCCCGCGCCCGCCGCCCCGCGCGCATCCAGGCCGGGCCCGGGCTGCCGGCCGCCAACCTGGACACGTCCGAGCGGCCGCGATTGGTCCGAGCGAGAGGGGAAGAGCCGCGAGGGAGGGAAGGGGAGGGCCGAGGCGAAGGACAGCCTCCTTCCCCACCCCGGGGGCGGAGGGAGAGAAAAAGGAAACCTGTTGAACTAGTCTTTCTTGGGGAGGAAGCTAATTGGCCAAGCAGGTGAGACATTTGCCTAGGAAGGCAGCATCCACTGTATTTCAGTGCTTGGTGCGAGGGGCTTTTTAAAACCCGCACTGTAACGAGGGGGTTGAAAAGTGACCAGCCAGCTGTAGACACAGGAAATGGATACGACTGCGTGAGGCTCTCACACAGATGCGCTGTGTGGGCTGGCTATGTTCTGCCCTAAATTATTCACATAGGATATTGCCTCGTTGAGGAGCGCTTCCCAGGGCCTTAATTAGTTCAATAGCAAAGGTAATGAGAGGTGGTTGCCTTCAGTGGTTGTCTGGTTGACCGTTCCTAGTTCTGTGGGGGAGAAGCTTTCATCAAAAGCTCCTAACAACTTATTTTTTATGCACCCAACCAATACAATGAATGCCTCTTCTTCCCGGCTCTTGGTGAGGTTTTGACTTGCTGGTTTTGTCTGAAGCATCCATTTATTCATTGAAGAAATTTTTGAGAGCTGCAACGTTCCAGGCATTCTTCTAAACATTCCCTTATATAGCAAATAACTTATGTGTTGTTGGTTTTCAAATCTGTTACCGAGTAGTTGAGGAGAAGAATAACTTGTTGGGAGCCAAACTTTACTTTAAAACAATTATAAGTGGCAATAGTAGAGTATGACATGGCTGGGGGAAAATATTATTAACTCTTTGCTCTGGGGCTGCAGTCCTTTGTTTTTCTTTTAAAATTAATTTTAGACTTAAGAGTAATTACAAAGACTATGCAATCATAGTGTTTATATAAATGTACTAGAGGCCCGGTGCACAAAATTCATGCACGGGAGGGGGGGGGGTGGTCCCCTCAGCCCAGCCTGCACCATCTCCAATCTGGGACCGCTTGGGAGATGTCCGACTGCCGGTTTAGGCCTGATCCTGGGGACCTGGTTGCCCCATGCAGCCTGCTGCTGGGTCGTTTGGTTGCCCCTCACTAACCCCCCTGCTGGCCTAGTCGCCCCACACAGCCTGTTTGGTCGTGCGTTCACTTGCGATGGTCACTTAGGCTTATATATATATAGATTCTATAAATATTCACTCTATGTTTTTCTGTTTTTTGTTTGTTTGGTTTGGTTTTTTGCTTCCTGAGCACTGAGCCCCTCCTGCAGGAGCCCATCTGGGGAAGGCTCTGGAAGCTTGGAGTCCATGCTCTTCAGTGCCCATTGCAGGCTCTTCCTGGGAACATTATGCCTCCACATCCTTTCTCTAGCTCCGCCCCCTACTCAGGATGAGGATGGACTTGGAATTTAGAAGAGGTTGTCACCCTCCCAAACTCTGGGTAGTGAGTCTCTCCGTAACTCTCAGGTGCCCTCCATGCTGTCCCCACTACAGAACTCAAGCCAGAACTGACTTTTTCTGCCCTCAAGTAGTTTTTTCATTGCAGTAAAATATATGTAATATTTATCACTTTAACTATTGGTTAAGTGTATAATTCAGTGACATTAAATACATCCACAGTGTGTGTAACCATCACGACTATCTATACCCAAAACGTAAAAAAAAAGTCATCCCCAGCATAAACTCTGTACCATTCAATAATAACCTCAATTCTCCTTCCTGTCTCTATGAATATGTCTGTTCTGGGTACCTCATATAAGTGGAATCAGATAATAGTATTTCTTCTGTGTCTGGCTTATTTCACTAAACTTCATGTTTTCAAGGTTCATCCAAGTTGTAGTATGTATCAGTACTTCATTTCTTTTTATGGCTAAATAACATTCCATTATAGGTACATTTGTTTATCCATTCATCTGTTGATGAACATTGGGGTTGTTTCTGCTTTTGGCTACTGTGGCTACCTTTTGGGTAAAAATACCTATGAATGGAATTGCTGGTCATGATGGTAGTCCTATGTTTACCCTTTGACAAACCGTGGTCAGGCCTCTTTTACTGCATGAGTAAGGGAAGTGTTCCCCAGCGTGGGCTTACAGCTCAATTAACGAGCGCTGAAAATGCCCTGCAACCTGTTCTTCAGTGTGTGGGATGAGGACTTCAATAGCAGATCTTAAGTGAGAAAGGAGGGGAAGGGTGGGGTAGGAAGGAGCCTGTGGGGAAATAGCAGATAGTCCTTTCCTAGAGTGGGGAGGAGTAGAAAGGAGCAAGTAAAGTACATTATTTTACATAGTGACATTTGCCTACAGTTAAAAGACATTGTGAACCAGCTTCCCAATTTGTTTATTCTTGGGGTTATTATACAATAAAATAGAGTGCAGTATTTAAAAGGCAGCAGCAGGCAAACGATAGGAGAAACTTCATTGTAGTGTGAGAAAATAGAGAGTGAACATTATGTCTAAAATATATTTTAGGAGGCTCTTTGATTTTGCTCCAATAAAAAAAAATGTTTGCCTTTCTTCCTCCAAGCCTATGGGAACATAATTTCTTATTTCTAATATCAAAAGTAGTTCCAGCTGATATTTTCTTGCAGTTATTGAAGCAGACCAGTAGAAAATGCATGCCTAAACCATCGCTTTTCAGGAGGTAGGAGATTTCTTTTAATAGCTTCAAATATTGATCAAATATTGGTCTCTTTTTAAGATTGGTCAGATACGCTGTGCATCTGTCCATAGTCCTAGTGGCAGAGTTCAAATATGAGTTTGGAGATTTGAGTGGCGCTAAGGTTGTAATGTATAGTTAAATAGTTACCTAATTTATGACACGTGGCAGATTAGGTATTTAATAGCCAACATAAGTGCACGTAAAGTGTTGTCACATGCCTATAATTTAATGCATATTGTCTGAGGACATGTTTTGGAACAGTGGTTCTCAACCTGTGGGTCACGACCCCTTAGGGGGTCGAACGACCCTTTCACAGGGGTCACCTAAATACATCCTGCATATCAGATATTTACATTATGATTCATCACAGTAGCAAAATTACAGTTATGAAGTAGCAACAAAAATAATTTTATGGTTGGGGGTCACCACAACATGAGGAACTGTATTAAAGGGTCGCGGCATTAGGAAGTTTGAGAACCACTGTTTTAGAAGATGATGCTTTTATCAAGATGGAACCTGGAAAGCTGAGTAATAGTTTAACTATGCATAATATTTTATACATCAATGTCATAAGTCAAAGAATTCCAGGACCACGCATCACATCATCCCTGTTTACAAATTAAGGTCAATATCCAAAGGAGGAAGTGGGAAAAAATTGAGTTCAGAAGATAGCAATATATGGTAACACTGAAGAACTTAATTATAAAACTTTAAAAAACATTTTAAGATGAAAGTTGAGAAACATTACATGTAGGGGACCTTTACTGAATGATTTCTGTCAAATGTGAAAGAAAGTTTCCCAATGAATAAACATTGGGATGGGATTCTATAGAAGACTTGGAACCTTCTACTATATAGGACTTTGAAAACAATACTTAAAAAAAAGCAAATAGGCCCTAGCCAGTTTGGCTCAGTGGATAGAGCGTCAGCCTGAAGACTGAAGGGCCCTGGGTTCGATTCCAGTCAAGGGCACATGCCCGGGTTGCGGGCTCAATCCCCAGTAGGGGGCATGCAGAAGGCAGCAGATCAATGATTCTCTCTCATCATTGATGTTTCTATCTCTCTCCCTGTCCCTTCCTCTCTGAAATCAATAAAAAATATATTTAAAAAAAGCAAATAGAATAGTTCTGCACCACTTTTCCCAAGCCAAGTTATACTGCAGATGGAGAAATCTGAAACATGTACTCTATCTCCCTCCAGGGATGAGGCAAGAACTAAGCTTAGCACCTGTGTTGGGAAGACTAGGCAAGATGGCAAGGGCTTACTGGTCTAGGGGCAGTTGGTAGTTGGGAAACATAGAATAAATCTGATTCTGTGAGAAAGCAGAAGCAATACAAACTCTTCTAGTTCAATATGTATTTTTAAAAAATTAAAATAAATATGATGGCATATAAACAATAAGTTAAAATCTACCCTGAAGTTTTAAACTACATGTCTATTTTCTGTATGGTGAATGTCATAGATCATAATATGTGAAGTGGGGAGGCCTCTGAGACCATTCAGTAGCGTGATTTTTCCCCACCAGGTTCTGAGGGAACCCAGGGCTCTTTGAGTGAGTGGGGGAAAGAGCTGCGTTTGAAATAAGGTCTTCAGACTCCACTGCCTACCTCTAAGCACTACTCCAGTATACTAACTGCTTCAGTTAGACCTCTTCCGCTAGGACCTCTTTCATGTTTCCGTTCTGTATTAGTTTCTACATGAGGATAGGGGAAAGGGTTGCCTGCCACACAATAAACAAAATTTAAATATCCAATTCTCGCTGTCATTCTTCAGAAAAGAGCCTGAGCTTCAGAGAGCTTAGTGACTTGACTAAAATTACAGCATCGCATGTGGATGAAGACCCAGCTTTCCTGACTTCTAGTGAGGTGCTTGTAGGGGTGTAAGAGAGTGAACAGAACAAAGCAAGGTTTGTTGATGGCAGAGACAAATGACTTATAGGGGAGAGTGAGTGTGTGTGTGTGTGTGTGTGTGTGTGTGTGTGTGTGTGTGGTTGAGGGGTAGGGGTGGGAAGCCCAGGACTCTCAGATACATACATACATTATTAGGGAAGGAAGTGGTTGAATATAGAGCTGTCTTTGGAGCTGCATTTTGACAGTTATCTATTGCTGCATAACTAACCACTTCAAAGCTTGGTGGCCTAACAATAATTTGTTTTTTTCTCATGGTGTGATGGATTGATGGGGCTCGGCTGGGTGGTTCTTACTTGGGAGTCGCCCATGCAGTAGCAGCCAGATGGCACCTTGGGTTGGAGTCATTTGAAGACTCAACTGAGCTGGATG